ATTTGGACCGGTAAATTAGATGATGACTGTTTATAATCATCATTGTGAAATGATTGACCTAAATATGCCCTCAATGGAATTAAAAATATATTTCAGAACCATGCGAAGTCATAGAACACAAGTCCTAATGTTAATATGTAGTCTACGATTTGATTGATTGACTGCGAAATACCGGAAAGCACAGGATATTACAGGATGGATATTGCGGATCTTCTTCTTTCCTTTATTTAACGTCGGTCTCTGTTCCGCAATCTAGTGCCAAACACCGACGGACATCGATTGCCATCCATTGACGGCAATAGAATGTGCAGGAAGGCAGCTTCCACACCTGCGTAGGATATCGCACCCATTCAACACACATGGGCCGGCACCAACGGCTTTACTTCCCTTTCGAAGGAAGACGTGACCAGAGATTTCTATGTCTCAGAAAAATCCCACCGACCTCGGCTGGGATTGAACCCGGGGTGTTAGAAAGCAGTCACGCTTTCCACTACACCATCGGCGCCGGCATTGCGGATCTTATGAAAAATTTTCGTCCGGTTGCTACCGCAGCTGTCAAGTTCTACCAAGTGATACTACCAACTAACGATTTAAAATTTTCTCACACTGGACTAGCCTATCGGTCCTAAGTACATCGATGAACGTACCCCATTATAGTCCATGTTTGTTTTGATTCGCTATGAAAGATTGACAGATAAAATGAGGGGCTCGAGGATTTTCCTATGTCAAGTAGTGATCCAATTTAAAATCGTCAGTTTCCACCGGTTGGTTCTACCGCAGCTGTCAAAATTCTGCCATAGAGATAACTCTATATCTTTACCCCATATTTCACCCATGTCCATCCAGTCCTGAGATATCGTGGGACCCGAACAAGTCGATTACCTTTATCCATCTTTAGACCTCAATTGGGTTGTTGAGATAAATACATACTCGTTATCTGCATTAAAAATGGAACCGAAATCCAAAATTTCATCAATTTTGGTACACTGGAACAATTTCAAATAAGCACGATTACATTAGCAAAAATCACCATCTTAGCGCCCCTTGGTGGGACTTTGTATGGGAGCGAGCTGGCAACGAATAGATTTAGTGTCAATGATCAAAAATTTTAATCTTGATTTAAAAATCGAGATGAATGTCTACGGGATCGATAAAAAATATCGTTGTGCTGAGAAAACGAAGCTCTATCATATGATGTATAAAAACTGGTATATAGCGGTCCATAGCTTTTAATGGCACATTAGAACAGTCAGAACAAGTAATTGCATCTAAGTTTAATGATTTTTTGTAGACAGTGTTTCATTGATTAATCAATCAATTGAATTGGTCGATGAACCCGACGAAATAAAACAGCCAGTTAATAGTAGTTGTAGATTTGAAGTTTTTCACCCAATTACATTAGATGAACTTAGAGTTATTTGTTTTTCATTAGGAAAATCGGCTGGAGTAGATAATGTTAATGCTAGAGTTATTCGAGATTGCTTTCATGTCATTGGCCACATTTTGCTGGACCTTATTAATGAATCATTGCAAACTGGACATGTGCCACAAATATGGAAGGAATCCTTAGTGGTTCCTATTCAAAAAGTTGCTGGAACGGTTAAAGCCGAAGAGTTTGGTCCTATCAACATGTTGCACACATTAGAGAAAATTTTAGAACTTGTTGTTAAAGGCCAGCTGTTGGAGTATTTAAATAGTAATAGTTTGTTGATACCAGAACAATCGGGATATCGGGAAGGTCATTCTTGTGAAACCGCGTTGAATTTGGTATTAGCGAAGTGGAAAAATAACTTGGAGTGTAAAGATACGATTGTTGCTGTTTTTTTGGATCTAAAACGCGCTTTTGAAACAATTTCTAGGCACTTATTGTTAAGATCAATCAAGCGCTTTGGAATTACGAGTACTGCATATTAATGGTTTGAAAGCTATTCGCCTGACAAAACTGACGGACTGTTTTTAATGATTATGTTTCCAGTCCCATGGGGAATAACCTGATACCCCGTTCACATTACAGCGTATATCACGTGATATACGCTGTCTTGCAATGAGCACTCATACATCTAGTTTTCACTGGAAATCCTATGTATGAGTGCTCATTGCAAGACAGCCTATATTAGGTGATGTAGGTTGTAATGTGAACGGGGTATTAGAGTGCCCCAGGGAAGTGTATTAGGGCCCCTGTTATTTATTATGTATATTAATGACTTGCGACGTGTTTTACGATTTTGCGACATTAATCTTTTTGCAATTGATGATGAGACTATTGATCGCAATCGCGAGATTGAATATTTTGGCGTGATAATTGATGACAAACCTAAGTTCAACTCTCACATTGACAATGTCATCAAGAAAATTGCCAAGAAGTATGGAATGCTATGTCGTCTGAAAAACGATTTAACTATTACCAGTAAAATACAGCTATACAAATCAATCATCTCTCCTCATCTAGACTTTTGCCCTTCCATTTTATTTTTGGCCAATGCAACACAAATATCGAGATTACAGCGCATGCAGAATAAAATAATGCGTTTGATATTGAGATGTAATAGATTCACTTCCTCAACTTTGATGCTAGACGCCTTACAATGGTTGTCGGTGAAGCAAAGAATTGTATATTTGACTATGGTGTTCATTTTTAAAGTAGTGAACGGTTTGCTGCCTCGATATTTGTGTGATCGAATTGAAAGAGGAAGTGACTTTCATAGATATAATACTAGAAACGCGGCTTACGCCACATTTCTTGACTTGTGCTTCACAAAATTCATTATATTATAGAAGAATAAATGTTTTCAATTCGATGCCTAGACATATCAAACGTTCAGCAACACTTACGTAATTTAAGACAGTGCATTTCACACGTTAAAACTGTCTTTTGAACAGTTATCCAGTGAATTTTTTAAGAATTGACAAAATATGCATCTTGACGAAGTTATCTCTAACGGATTATTTTATATGGATAGCTGTCATAAAGACTTTTTAATAATTATTGTAGCACTGCAAAAACTATTTCTGTTCGTCACTATGGTGATGATGGATTTTTGATATTTGATTTAATAGTAGATTAATTAAAAAAAAGTAGTCTACAAAGGTTCGCGCGTATTACGGATATAGAGGACTGAATTTAAAATTTGATAAAAAAAAATCACTTTTGAAGCTTATTTGGAAGATACCTTGAGTTAGTAGTAAGTTTTCTGGCAAATGTTGGGGGTTCATGAGCATTCCTGACATTGCTTAAATAAATTCTCAACAGGAGGTGATGAAGACATAAGAAGCCCCGATAATATTAAATAATACGTTTCTTATTCACTTTTAGCCTATCCATAGTCCGAATCATGGAGAGAGCAGTGGAGAAAGCTCAGGTCTGATAATCACCAACGTTCGTGGTAAAAGTCCCAGACGGCAGTCTTTTTTCATTATTTTTTCGATATTATTTATTTCTTTCACTAATACACTCCACATTTTTGAAAAATCTCCCCTATTAGTAATTGAGAGAAGTGGGAATAATTCGTATTCGATGCATTTTCAGGTAAAAAAAAAGTGAATGACAGCCTAAATAAATCATTCGTGAACTTTGTCGTTGACTTATTTCCCAGAAATAAGTCAACCTGGTGTCGGTAGCATTCACACTTAGAAATACTTAATTTTACACGTGACAGAATCCATCTTTGACATAAAGGATAAGACGTAAACAAACATGTCATGTAAAATTAAGTTCTCCGAGACTGAAAAGTTCGTTACTCGACGAAAAATACGTTTAATTGAGCTGCATTTCACGTCTATTATGACTCAATTCTATGTCAAAATTGACGCTCGTATATGTCAGTCTCAGAGCACTAAAATTTACACTGAGTACTGTTGGTACTCAGTATGGAAAACAAGATCTACGGAAAACAAATCAAAGAAAGAAAAAAAAGACAATTACATAAAAATGTCTTTTCCCCATACATTTGTACCCGATTTACTACCAGTCCCCAGAAAGCTCAAAATTTCAAATTTGAGAGTGAAAAATCGCTCTCACGACCTCAATACATCATGCCATGTATTTTGATGATACTCTATTTGTGATTTCATTCTCACCTACAAAATAGAGTACCTGATTCTGCGTAACATGTCTGGTACCTCTATTTTAGGGTGGGTATCCGTTATATAAAAAAAAAAACACAAACTTGTCCTCATCAATTGGTTGTAACCCGGCTTTCCGCATTGCATTTGAAATTCGTATGGAAATTAGAATGGGAAAACCTACTTTTTTGCATTTGCATTTCTAGAGGCCACAATTTTGTTTGAACCATGCATCTAACCATGTGAAAGTATAGTCCAGTAAGTACTCACAACTTTGCCGAAGGAAGTTAGGATGTTTCTAAAAAAAGTTATAACTGTTCAAATATGTATGGTCTGAATTAACTGTAAAAATCACTTTTTCTGCCAACACTGCCAGCGTACAAATCAGAATCAAAACTGAAAAAAATTGGAGCTTCTTGAGATCAATTATTGAAAAACAATGTCTCTATCGCATATGCATAGTTGTAGAGGAGGGGGTATTGTTACATGTACGATGATCGTAGCTTTCTAGACTGACTTAGTCATAAAAAGAAACACAAAATAGCACATTAAGCCGTGTGAATGCGATAAATTCATGCAGATTGAACGGCATGATCCTAGGAAAAAGGAACATAACATTTATCTTGGTTATATTTCTCCTATGCTTGACAGTGTAATCACATAGCAAGCTTCCTTGTGCTAACTTTACCATGATAATAGCGGCAATTATCAGATAAACAAGTTATCGCCTTCGTTGCGGCGTGGAACCGTTACAAACGTGATTGCGGTGCAATCCTGGCGCCACAAGTCTATCCTGGACTATTTCCTTTACTACGGTCTCATTCCTTCGGCTTCTTCCGCTGCGTTGTATGCACAAATGAATTTAAACTACTTGCAATAATAAATTAATTCCACTGATTTTATAACACAAGTTTTTCCCTGCTCTTCCCTCTTTGCAGCTATATATTATCATTAGCATTAGCAGACTTGCTGCTAATAGTGACAACTGTTCCGTTTACGTCAATTCTCTACACGGTGGATTCCTGGCCCTGGGGAAGCTTACTTTGCACTTCATCCGAATTCATCAAAGACGTCTCGATTGGTGTGTCGGTGTTCACACTGACCGCACTTTCCGGTGACCGGTTCTTTGCCATCGTTGATCCACTGCGAAAATTTCACGCTCATGGTATGTCACCAGGCAGTCGATGTCTCTGTTATGTAACATTGTGTATACAGATCCGGATCCTTTTACAGGTAGTGGACGGAAAGCAACACGGATGGCCATCACCATTGCCGTTCTCATATGGATACTGGCGATTGTATTCGCCATTCCTGCAATCCTTGGGTCACATATCAGGGTAAGACAATCAAATCAAACGTGCCAAATTCAGTGTTCAGATCAATCACAACACTAGCTACCAATGAAAGCTACTAGTGTCTGTGATACGGACACATAAATTTCAGCCTGATAGGGAATCCATCACGGTCGCTGTTATCATTCGTCTATGTTTTTTCCTATTTTCATGCCCTTCGGTGCTCACCCAATTGAAACATCACCACCAACCACGCGGCAGACGGAAAAAGTGAACAAGGACATAACGATTGACTTTTGCTACCCATTTCCGGGAAACTGGGGCCAGGAATATGCCCGCGGTATAGTTCTCGGAAAGTTCCTAGCGTACTACGCGATACCACTGTGTATTATAGCAATGTTCTATGTGCTGATAGCACGACATCTGATACACAGTGCGAAACATGTGCCTGGTGAAACGCAAGGAACGGTTAGGCAGGTAGGTGGATGATAGTCTATACACGGCCGATCAGATAAACTCAGAGAGAGTCACTTTTACTCAGTTGAGTAAGGAATTCCTGAGAACCAGTTCAGAAATTTATCATACAACTCAGTAAAAGTGACTCTCTCTCTCCCTCTCTGAGTTAGTCTGATCGACCGTGTACAATATGTATTTACATTCATAGTATCCGCATGTAATGTTACAACGTGTAGGAGCACAGCAGTTGCTTGTTGTTTTTCTGGGCAAGCGACGAAATCACTGTCATATGGTATTCTAATATTGGATCAGAACACATGGTAGCTATACAAGCCGAATGTTGACTTGATAATGCCAAGGAAATTTTTTGCACGAAATCCGATCCAAAAATAGGGTTGAAGTCTTGCTTAGTCCAGTCGTAGACATTTGAGATAAAACTAGTAGATGATATCAGTTCACAGATAAAATTCTATTGCCATTTCACATGAACTTCGAATGCAAATGGCTGAGCTTCTGTATTCAAAGTTCATCATGTATCTTAACAAATATAAATCACACACACATAGGCAGTGGTGGGCAACGTTAAACAACAAGTTTGCGTCGACCGTTAATAAATTTGTCTAGGATTTCAAGGCATTGACGTTAAATGTTTAAAAAAAAACAAAATAAATTAACGGCGGTAATGTTAACCGTTAACTTTAATATTTTAAAAGGATTGAACTCGATATGCCTATTAAATGAGTAAGGTCTAAGTGTACTGACATTCTACATTTAACTAAATGTTTTGACTTTTTGGCCATAAAAAAAAAGACCAAAATAAACTTTGTGCTTACAGCTGAAATAAATTTCATCTATTTAGATTGCACCTATTGTTTTATAATTAACAACTCGCATTTAATTTTAGATACTGCTTTTATAAAATTTAATTTATATTGGAAGGTCATAATCTCGAGCTATGCTAAAAGTTAGTATTTTTACCGTAGTGAACTTAGGTATGGCTACGTCACTATTCTATTTTTTGCTTGAATAATTGTGCGTCAGCTCCCCTAATGTTATTTTCCCAAATGTCACTTCCTCTGAACTTTAACCCGAAAATGGAAAAAAAAACGAGCAGCGAACAAAAAATGGAAGATTTTCATTGAGGTTAGTGGTGTTCGGTGATGTTACATTCTGGGAAAAAAAAAGCACAGTTCATCCTTTAATTGCAATTGTATTCCTCGAGTAAATGTTAATGCTCAGTAAGGGAGCATTTATAAATTACGCAGCGTATGTTTGACTAATTTAAAAAACTCTCCATTTTGCAGCGTATTTAGCTTTACGTAATACATGGCCGGTCACAACTTCTGAAACTCTCTCCCTCCCCCATCTAATGCTACGTAATTTATACATGTTCCTTAATGCTATCCAATAATGCATCTACTTAGCCACCCTTAGCTCAGTCGGTAAAGGCACAACTACAAAGCAAGACCATGCTGAAGGTTGCTTGGTTCGATTCCCGGTCCGGTCTAGCATTTTTTCGGGTTGTAAAATGTATCGACTTCCCTGGGCATAAACGCCACGTGATTTTTTTTCCGAAGCGCCATCTACCAGCAAAATTTTGAGGCTTGCGAGCTTTTGTTGAGCTCGTGGAGAAACTGTTGCAAACATTTTGGCGCATTGCTATCGCCTGGATTCTACCGTTGTATTGCACTTTCGCCGTCAAGCTTACCTGCTCTGTTGTTGCATACTACTCTAGGCGCATTACTTTAAACTGTGTAGTAGCGCTGCTGAGCAATTCTCTACAGATTAACGAATTTTTTAAATTTTTTTTAATTTGTCGGCTTCGATTTTGATGAAAATTTGCATAGTTGTTCTTTTTTAGTAAAGATGCCAATTTGTGTTATCAGTTCTTCAAATTGAATCACGACTACTTTTCTAACAGGGCCTGTGTAAAAATAGTACTAATGAGTTTAAAAATATATATTGCTGAAACGGTTTGTTGGATTGATTTGGTGTCTTCAGCAAAGTTGTAGATATTATTTTGGCAATAATGTTAAAAATATACACTGTAAAAATATTTGTTTGTTTCAATGAAAAAAATATATTTGTTATTAAAAAAGTAAATTTCTCAAAAAGTACATTACAAACCTTATTGAAGCTCATAATGTTTGCTACAAACTGGCAAAGTTTGGTGGTGGTAAACTTAAAAACAAAAAAGTTATGATTTTTTGAAAATTTCACGATTTTTACATTTTCATTAAAAACACATGTTTTTCAACCGTGTATATTTTTTCAAGAATCGCATTTTAATTTTGCACAACTTTCTCTAAGACACCATAGCAATCAAGCAAGCCGTTTTTGCAATGTATTAAACAGTTTATTTTATAAGCGCTTTTCTACACAGGCCCTATTGGAAAAGTAGTCGGGGTTCGCTTCCCCGAAAAGAAGCACCGTGAAATCAACGAATGTATTAGAAAGAATCTTCTCAACTTCGAGCCTGAGGCTGACGAAGTGAATGAACTCAAAGAAGTTTTAGAAAACATAAAGGAAAAGTTTTCCAATGCATCCACTGCAAGAAGTGAAAATTTATTAATTTTATCGTTATTGCCTTATTCATGGTCAACACAAAAAATTATGCATCAATTTAATGCTAGTAGATATATTGCAACAGAGGCTAAGTTGATAAAGGAAGGTCATTCGTCAAAAACCGCAAAATATGGCACAGCCTTAAGTGATGAAACAAAATTGGCAGTCATAATTTTTTTGAAGATGATGATATAAGCCGGGCAATGCCTGGTCAAAAAGATTATGTGTCTGTGCAGAAAGAAGGAAAACGACAAGCCATTTAAAAAAGATTACTAATGATGACTTTGAGAGAAGCTTATAAACGATTCAATGAAATTCACTGCAATGTAAAAATTGGATTCTCTTCATTTGCAAAACTCCGCCCTAAGCAATGTAAACTTTTAACCAGCTCTGGAACCCACAATGTTTGCGTGTGCACAACGCATGAAAACATCAATCTAATTTTACACAGTTTGAAAAAACTTAACCATTTAAATGATGTAAAAACGTTCACTGACAGCCTACTTTGTGAAAACAAGACAACATATTGCTATCTACGGTGTTGTGAAGATTGTCCAGACTCTTCCGCATTAGAAAACATTTTATTAAAACAATTAGAGGAAAAATGCAGCTTTCTTTTGAACAGTGGGTTACCACGGATAGATGTGATTTAGAAACTATTGTAAAGCCTGCAGACGAGTTTGTTTCATTTTCTGCATGAAATTGACAAGTTTGATACCACATGATTTCATAAAAACACAGCAATCTAATGTTTTGAAAACTACACGAAATAATTTGCAAGAAGGTCAATTTTTAGTTACTTGTGATTTTTTCGAAAACTACAGCTTTGTGTTACAGGATGAAGTTCAGTCTCATCACTGGAATGTCTAACAAGCTACCATTCATCCATTTGTTGTATATTTTAGAGGAAATATGCAAGTTAAACATTTAAGTTTTATTATAATTTATGAAGAGTTAAGGCATGACTCAGTGGCTGTTAACTTATTTATTTCTAAAATTATTAATTATTAAATTTTTCTTAAATTATTCGCATTAACCAAAGTAAAAGAATCAACAAGATTTATTTTATGTCCGATGGAGCCGCGTCACAGTACAAGAACCGGAAAAATTTTGCTAGCCTTTGTAAATTTAAATCAAAGTATGGAATTGAAGCCGAATGGCATTTATTTGCAACATCAGATGGGAAAGGTCCTTGTGACGCTATTGGAGGTACAATAAAACGCATGGCAACTAGAGCAAGTTTGGCCAAAGAACGTGAACATCCAATAAAAAATGCAAGAGAGCTTTATAATTGGGCAAATAATCGAAAAGAAGAAGAATTAACAAAATTATCGTTTAGTTTTGCCACAACAGAGGAATACGAAAGTATGGCTTCACACCTCAACGTGCCTTATAATAATGCAACAATAATTCAAGGAACTCAAAAGTTTCATTCTTTCATTCCTGTTTCAGAAAATAAAATTAAACCCAAAAGTTACTCAAACTGTAATGATAATGATGCCAAAATATTCGAAGTATTTAAGAAGTGATGTAAATAAAAATAGAAAGTAAGTTACATTCAAAGTGTTTTTGTGTTACTTCATACGCGAAGTTAACGATTTTCAGAGTTGGTTGGAAATGCTAACATGAAGCTTTAGTGTGATGATTTATTAGCTAGAGAATGATCTTTAGAAGAGGGTAGGTGGATAGTTCCGTTAGAGTACGGCAGTATGAAAATTGAATAGAAGTTGAAAATGAGCGAAGGGCCATTAATGTGACAGTTTTTCAAGATAGACGCACATTTTTGCCTAGCCCGTACGATGTACGCGGGGACTTGAAGTATGTCTCCAAGTCCACAGGCAAAAATGTGCGTCTATCTTGAAAAACTGTCACATTAATGGCCCTTCGCTCATTTTCAACTTCTATTCAATTTTCATACTGCCGTACTATAACGGAACTATCCACCTTCTAAAGATCATTCTCTAGCTAATAAATCATCACACTAAAGCTTCATGTTAGCATTTCCAACCAACTCTGAAAATCGTTAACTTCGCGTATGAAGTAACACAAAAACACTTTGAATGTAACAACTCAAGGCGGGAGTAGCCGTCAACAATGCTGATGATGGTACAGCACGCAACAACCACCCTACTGCTTTCTCTCTGAGATGATCACGTTGGTCATGACGAGAGGAGCAACACAATAGTTGGGTAAAGAAGAACTGCATTATAACACACCATCGACTGGAAATGCTCTCGCAACGTGGGGCTTTAGGTAGTGATGAAAACGTCGCTAGAACTATTCCACAGCCGCAGTCAGTTTATGAGCAACAAGAGGGACGCACATTTTTGCCTGTGGACTTGGAGACATACTTCAAGTCCCCGCGTACATCGTACGGGCTAGGCAAAAATGTGCGTCTATCTTGAAAACTGTCGCTTTAATGGCCCTTCGCTCATTTTCAACTTCTATTCAATTTT